AGGGAGTGGGTGAAGAAGAAGAGAAAGATTCTTAGCCACCTTACAAATATTATAAGAGACAAAGGAAGAAGTGAGTTGGGGTAAGTTCAGATAAAAGGGTGACTCTTGTCCGACGACAAGCGCGTCAATTTACTGGGTCCAGAGAATGTTGAGAAAACAAAAACTGTCATGATGAAAGGGCGTGAGAGAGAGAGAGAGAGAGAGAGAGAGAGAGAGAGAGAGAGAGAGAGAGAGAGAGAGAGAGAGGATAAAGAGGAGATATAAAGATTGAGAGAGGATGAAGAGAGGAGGGAGAAAGAGAGAGGGGAGAGAGAGAGAGAGAGATGGTGGGGGCTGTTGTTATCTGCCCGGAACGAGCTCCAAGCTCGCGGAACCACTGCATGCAAAATTCCCGCCTATAGAAAAACGTCTCCTCTCCTCCCGCCGCCATGGTCGTTGCTGTGTTGGACTTGATGAGATCTGATTATCTCCAAACCCGGGTAATGATTTGAGATGTCGCTGCCGCAAGAGTGCCAACTTGTGGCCAACAATCTTCAACACCATACGCCCTCGCTCACTTTCTGCCGGGGGATTCTGTCTCCCCCACCGCCATCCTCTCCCCCTCCTCACACTCCCGCACACACAAGACCTCCATAATACTAACCCACCCAATTTCTACCAAACTATCAACCCCCGCTCCCTCTTCTTCTTCTTCCACGTTAACAAGAAAATCAGCTGAAATTTATTCGGCCTGTAGCCTCGCCGTACGTTGCCTTTTGTCTTCTCGCGCTAGCAGCCAAACCATTTATGACCACGAAGTTTTACCCCCACATTCTCAGTCAGCTCACCTTGCCTGTCATGGACATAGATATTCAGTACTCACTCTTTGTTGATGCCTCGGACCACAGGCAGAGAGGCCAGCCTGACTACGTCTCTGATCCTCAGTCGTCCCAATTCATTTCACTGACAGACAGTGGCGAAAACTGAAGACCTGTGAGTTAATGTTTAGCTGCCCTCCTGGCAAGATCTGGATGATTTGGACGGATGATTACTCGGACTTTAATGTATCGATATTTATATTTACTAAACAAACTATATTATTGAAAGTGCGCGTTGTGCCTTTTATATTCGGACTGATATCTGAAATGAATACCTACGGAGATCTGGTGACATAACGCGTTGAATATTGTAGTGATTTTCGATAACTATTAGGCTAATATAATAATTATTGAAAAAACCTACAGCGTGTTTTCTTTAAATTTAAACCAGACCGCAGTATTCAACAGAAGGAGTGCTTATTTTACTAAAGTTGTTTGGGGTAATTTAATTTCGTTACATTACAACGAAGCTATTGATTTTTTTTAAAATAATAGGTTTTACTTTGAGAAACATTTAATCGTGGATTTTTTTTTTTTTTTTTTTTTTTTTTTTACAGATTATTGATAACATGTTATGTCTGTAAATAAATCTTTGCTTAGTAGATAACGTGGTTATATTTGTGATAGAGAATATAGATTTGTTTTCATGGTACAATTCATAGAACTGTTTCATGGTAGAACACATAAGATTTGTTTTTTATAGTAAATTCATAGAATGGTTTTATAGTACTATACATAGACCTGCTTTGAGGTAGAACACGTAGACTTGCTTATGAGGTCAATTCGTAGATTAGTTTTCTGGTGCCATGCAAAGATTTATTTTGCGGTAGAATTCGAAGATTTTTTTTTTTTTTTTTTGGTCTTGTCATTACATGGATTAGTTTTATGTGAGAATATGTAGATGCAAATGATGGTTAGACATGAAGATTTATTTTATTGTAGAATACATAGATTTGTTTGGATTGTATAAAATGTAAATTATGTGTGTGTCTAGAATATGTAGATTTGTTTTATGGTTAAATACACAGATTTATTATTTAATGTAGAAAATGTATATTTGTTTGATGATATGCTTGTTTTATGGGAGAATAGTTGAATACGTAATTTGTAGGATACATACGTTGATTTGTTTTGTGATTTATAGTAGAATACAAATGTTTTTAATAGTGGAGAAAGGGACCTTAAGTAGAATACTTGGCTATCCTCCAAATAACGGTCCCTAACAGGGCCTCAGTCACATGTCAATTGCGCACTTCCGGCGACTTAAATTGCCAACTTCGGGCGACTACCACTACCGCCGAGAGTATCGGAGGATAGCCGACTACTTAGATCTGTTTGTTGCTTGACTATATAGATTTACGTTATGGAAGAAAATATTAATTTGTTTACAGCGTGTACTATCATATTGTAAACAAAACAATCAAAGGAATAGGTTTTACAAAATAGGGCTTTCTGCAAGTCGATTTCAGTGAAAATATTCCCCGCTTGGAAGAGAATTCGAACCATTCCTGCCAAGAAGCGAACATGTAAGCCACTACGAGCCTATTACTCCCATATACCTTTTAGTAATTAAGTTATAACTATAAAAGGATAAAACCGTCGCACTTTTCATAATGCTGTGTGAGCAATGTATTTACTATACACGTCCAGCTCGTGGCGTCGGTGGCCTAGGCGGTGCGAGTCCGACTTGTAATTCCAACGTACCGCGATCGAAACCCACTGCTGGCTGCGTAGATTTTTATCATGATATGGTCCTGAAATCCCGTGCTATCACTGTGGAAGACTTTTCTTGACACGGGCTGGTCTTGCTAATCACACTTGATATCGCCGTGGGCTGTGAGTCCCATGCCTAATCATAGCGCAATATAACACTATCGTCTGGAGAGCGGAGGGGTGCCAATCAATCATGAGGTGTTGCAGATCGACCCAGCCTAAAGTGGGTACTGGCGTGTATGTCCCGTGGAAGACGGCCGGCGTAATGCTGACCACATTACCAACCAAGTGCCGATTTGTCTGTAAAAATATGGGTGCTCTTCCCATTTTTTTTTCTTTCAAATATCCAGAAACCATGAGTTCTCAACCCTTTGGCTCAATACTATGGATATGGCAACCCTTCGGCCTTGATTCCATGATAAATACCGCAAATCTGGGGGAAATGTTGCTTTTCTGTCTACCCCCGGGCGAGAACCCGGACCACAAGGAGCTCGTCACACGGTCGTCACGAAGTCAGGTTTAGCCACCTACGATAGCGAGCAGGGCGTTGCTCTTCCCATATGCCCGATGCGCCTAAAGGCATGAAGAGGGATCTTTTACTTTACTTTACTTCACTTCACTTCACTTTACTTCACTTTACTTTACTTTACTTTATTTTACTTCACTTCACTTCACTTTACTTTACTTTATGTGCAGCTCAGTAAGTTCATTGTGAAGCAAGACCTTTATTTCCCCCAGCCCCACTCCAACAACAAAAACAAGTTTTTGCAAACAGCTTCAATGGTAATATTGTATTTGCGATAGTATCGTTGGCTTCCGGGACCACATTGTGGGTAAAACAGAAAAACACCCATTGCCTCCCCAACAAGCATGACTAAATGGTAGCTTCCTTCAAAGCGGAAATGCATCTGCCTGAGAGGCAAGGAACCAAAAACCTGCATACAAATAGGTCAGACCTGTAAAACGGGTATGCACGCAACACTGTTTCTGGAATAAGTTCAAACGCTCAAAGGTGTGCAATTACCCAGAGCATTCCGCCTGAGTTACAGTCGGTGAACGCCAAGAAGCAAAAAGTGATATTTTAGTTTCGTAGATTACCTTTGAGGCAGGGGCCGACCATAACGAAGATGGGCACAGGATATAAGTGTCTCCTTGAGTATGAAAGTACATGAGGCGGGAGAACTGGCGAGAGACCGAGTTTCTTTCAGGCAGACTGTGATGAGAGCGACGTTCTGCAAAGGGCCTGCTACATGATGATGATGAGAATACGTTTATAGTTTTCCTTCACGCTTTAGTTATATAATTTAGTTGTAGAGTTTAGTTTCCATAGTTTTTAGTACAGATTATTTAAGAGGTAAGCAACTCGACATCTGTTGTTTTTCACAACCATTTATTTTCAAAATTAGTAGAATTAGCAAACAAGGGTTTATAAGTAATTATCTATGTAATTATTGCAGTAGTAGCCATATATTTGATCTTCTGAACCGATACTACACTGGTCATAGTTAGTAACTGTAATATCAAATAAATTTTAAAAATCAATTGTGGTAGACGGCGTAGTTATAGCAGCAGCAAAAGAAGTAGTTGTTGTTACAATTGGGTTGGTGGTCTTGATAGTAGTAGTTATTGTAGTGGTCGGGTACTAATAATAGTAGTAGTAGTAGCAGCAGTAGTAGTCGTAGTAGTAGTAGTAGTAGTAGTAGTAGTAGTAGTAGTAGTAGTAGTAGTAGTAGTAGTAGTAGTAGTAGTAGTAGTAGTAGTAGTAGTAGTAGTAGTAGTAGTAGTAGTAGTAGTAGTAGTAGTAGTAGTAGTAGTAGTAGTAGTCAGAGTAAAGTTTAGGAGTTAGGCAACAATTCAACTGTATTGATTGTTCTCGTTAAGTGGGCAGTGTATTTTCTTGGAAACAAAACTTATAGGAGTGAATAAAGGACTATTCGAACGAACAGTGTTTTTTTTAGTATTCTGTTAGTAGACACAAGAATTGTAAACATTATTACTGTGCTTTAATGTGCATGAAATGTGCTGTTCGGAAAGTCAAACCAGACTTTTGTACTGTGGACTATTTGTACTTTCATTTTTCAAAAAGATCGAAAATTTACTGTTTTAAATAAAGGATTGTGACCTAAAACCCGAAATTTAATTTAACCGGATATGTGGACAATCAGTAAGCGAGTTTTATAGAACAGGATGAGCCGGGGCTGCAGTCTTGTAGGCGGAAACAGTTCAATCGCTGCTGCAACGATGGCTTGGTGTAGTGCCAGGGGCAGTATCAGCGGACACAGCCTGCGGGTCAACATGAACGATCTGTATTCCGGATTGTTCCGGCTGCGTGACACCCTGTCACGCGAGGTGTTTTCACGTGACAAATTGTCACGTGAGGTTCTGTCAAGACTGTCATTTTCAAGCAAGCCTCCTTTGTTACTTTTGCAGGCGATTCGATGTACACACCCCACATGCCACTGTGAGTGCTTTGCCCCTGGAAAACAAAGTCTTCGTTACTGCGATACATGCAACCATGGTTGGGTTGCTCACGGTAAGTGCTTGACATTTTCTCTCCAGTATTTATTTGCTTTTTTCGTGTGTCTTGTGTTCTCACTACATTTTTGACTAGGTAAAAATGCTCAATATAAGGTTAGTTGCGTATCCTTTACATGACGTTGCAGAACCAACCCAAACAGCCCCTGGCTGTTGTGTGGTTTTTCTAGGCAAATTTACGTCCATTGCTTCACCGGACGGTCGGCTTTCTTGATAGCACGGTTGAAACCAACGCAAGGCACATGCCCCGCAGCTGGGATCGAACCTGGCATTACGAAGCGTTCGCATCGACTTAGCCACAGAGCCGACACTCAATATAAAGTATCTTAAATATAAGATTCTGGTACTTATCACAGTGTCTACCTGGTAATGTATAAAGAAAAATATTGGTGCTTAATAAGAAACAAAGAAGACAAACAATAGATTGCACACTTACATCCCTGCCAAATTTCGCTGCATCTCGTCAGGTGCATACTACAGTAGCAATTAAACAAATGAAGCAAATATTTGATTTTTTTACAACTGAAGTACAAATTCAACCAGACTCAAGAGCGACTTCATGTTCTACTTGGGCAACCGCAGATGTCAGAACAATGTCTTTCTGTTTACAAAGTTAAGGACGCTTAAAAGGTAGTCGGTACTTTATACTGTTGCGTCCACCGAGGGGGAAATAAGTCCTAATTACCAGCGTTGTTATTTTTCTTTCTGTTTCTGCTGATCCCTTCTGGAATACAAGCATCCCCTTTTACAATTATTCTCACAATCACTTACATCTTCAGTGTTGACGTTGTTGTCTACACATTGTCGTCATAATCATCATAATTTTTTTTAGTTTTCATTATTATTTATTAAAATATATTACTATTGTTTTTTTTTTTTAATGTCTTCTTTATGGTGCATAAAACGTTATATAGTCATTTTTTTATTTTTTTTTTTGCGTGATAAAATCTCTCATTATTGTAATTTTTTTTTTTTCCTTTAGACGAATTAATATTAGACATATTATTACATTCATTGAACTAATTTTACTGTAAGCAAAGCTCTTTTTAAGGAAAAAAAAGTGCCAGTACTCGCCACAAAGTGTCTAAGAAAGGTATCGGCAGTCACCACAAAGTGTCTCAGAAATGTGTCGGTACTCACAACAAAGTGTCAAAATAAGGTGCCAGTAATCCCAACAAAGTGTCTAAATAAGGTGTCGGTACTCACAACAAAGTGTCTAAATAAGGTGCCGGTACTCACAACAAAGTGTCTAAGAAAGGTACCAGTACTAACAACAAAGTGTCTAAATAAGGTGCCAGTACTCACAATAAAGTGTCTAAATAAGGTGCCAGTACTCACCACAAAGTGTCTAAATAAGGTGCCAGTACTCACAATAAAGTGTCTAAATAAGGTGCCAGTACTACCACAAAGTGTCTAAATAAGGTGCCAGTACTCACCACAAAGTGTCTAAATAAGGTGCCAGTACTCACAATAAAGTGTCTAAATAAGGTGCCAGTATTCACAATAAAGTGTCTAAATAAGGTGCCAGTACTCACAACAAAGTGTCTAAGAAAGGTGCCGGTACTCACCACAAAGTGTCTAAATAAGGTGCCAGTACTCACAACAAAGTGTCTAAGAAGGGTGCCGGTACTCACAACAAAAAGTCTAAGAAAGGTGCCGGTACTCACAACAAAGTGTCTATTAAAATAGCGTTGGTGGGAACGATGCATTAAAAATGGTGCTGGTACTCTGCTCGTAGCATACTGCCAGAAAACAAAGTCCCTGACTATAAGTGTGAAATAAATGTAGAAGACAAAGACCTATAACACAAAACCTTTAACACAAGACCTATAACAAAAGAGCTATAACACAAGACCTTTAACACAAGACCTATAACACAAGACCTTCAACACAAGACCTATAACACAAGACCTTCAACACAAGACCTATAACACAAGATCTATAACACAAGACTTATAACTATGGTGTATACCTAGTTTCGTCCTTTTGAGGACAACTTTTTTTGTCATTTGAAGGCCCACCCTGGTTTTGTCAGGGGCCGCAATATAGACAGGCCATAAATATGGCCAATTGTCTAAACGCGGTTTCTGGGACCTCTCCACGGCGATCCTCATCCACATGGTGGTACTTTGTGTCATCGGGTGTTTATCGCTTGTGTGATGTCCTGGTGGGGTAGAAAGTCAAGTCAAGTCAAGACCATAACACAAGACCTATAATTATATCATATCATACCTGCTAGGCAAAGTGGGGTCTGTTGATTTTCTCACAATATCTGGTCCACCCATGGACCGTGCTGATATTAATAATGCCCTCAGAGAAGTGGGAAGGGTGGAAGACTTTCAGGACAGTGACTCCACATCGCTAACCACAATGAAAGACTCGGGAGTTAAGAGCGGCATAGCCAAAATCGAGAGAAACCCCGAGCATACAAAAAAGACTTATCAATCAAACAAGCCACAGAATAAACACTGTTTGAGCATAATTGGTAAGCTAACATCAATTCACTGTGTTGGATGGGGGAGGGGGGGGGGGCTGAGTTGTTTTGAGGCATGGCGTCTGTCTAGAATGATGGAGGTCCCGGGTTCAGGCCCCGGTGAACGCTGGGATTTTTTATGTGGACTTGTAATAATTTCCTGTGGTCTCTGGGTAGTAAGACCGGACGCCCATGTGTATTATTGCGCACGTAAAAATTCCCTTGTCAATTGGAAATCGAAAAAAGTAGCCTAACGGAGCTGACCGGGCAAAATGTGGAGCTACAAATCTACCTAAAGTTGTTCAGGATCCCCGCCGGTGCTATGGAGTTCAAGCATTGCGCTGTGATTCTTCGGACTCAGACTTGAGTTAGAAGTAGAACGGATCATTTATGGGTAACTATCCTTGTTCCATGGTGTGGATCCGTTGTTTAAACCCTTAAACCCCAAATTTACTGTTTATAGTTGTTATTTTATTCTCACTTCCTAATATCGTCTCTGTTAAACAGTTTGCATAACATATTCACATTCAAATGAACTATATCAGATTTATACAAACCGAGTATTACCGTGTTTCCTGAAAAATAAACCAGGTCTTAAACTAACTGCTGCTCCAAAGATAAAAGCATGTCAAACTAGGTGTCCCCCTGGGGCCATATGGGTGACATCTGTATCCGTCACGGGAACCATATGGGTGACATTTGTGTCTGTCACAGGAACCATATGGATGACATCTGTGTCCGTCACGACGACCATATGGGTGACATTTGTGTCCGTCACTAGAGCCATATGGGTGACATTTGTGTCCGTTACGAGGACTCTATGGGTGACATCTGTGTCCGTCACGAGGACTCTATGAATGACATCTGTGTCTGTCACGAGGACCATATGGGTGACATCTGTGTCAGTCATGAGGGCTATATAGGTGACAGCTGTCTCCGTCACTAGAGCCATATGAGTGACATTTGTGTCAGTTACGAGGGCTATATAGGAGACAGCTGTCTCCGTCACTAGAGTCATATGAGTGACATCTGTGTCCGTCATGAGGGCTATATGGGTGACATGTGTGTCCGTCATGGGGGTCACACACGACAACTATCTGACGTCATTTAAAACCAATTATTGCAGAATACTTCCTATGTGCGAGCCGCAGCTGTGCTTGCAAAGGCTCCCATGCGGCCCGCGGACTGCCATTGGGACATGTTTGCTCCAAAATATCTTTAAGCTTTTGTTTTCTTCTTTTAGCGTTGACCAGCTGTAAACTTCAGCGGAAAATTCTGGTTGTTCATCCACTCTTAAAATTTTACCCCCAGTAATCGAGTTTTCAATGCATATCCGTTTTACAGATCTTGTTTGATTATATGTATGCAGACTGTTGGTTCCTTGTCTCTAAGGCAGATGCACTCCGACAGTAAAGGGAAAAAACCCAAATTAGTCTTCTACTACAATATGCTAATTTGCCGGGCAGTGGGTCTGTTCCTTATTCTTCAAAATGGAGCCGCGTACACACACACAGACACACACACAGACACACACACAGACACACACAGGCAGGCAGACAGGCAGACAGGAAGGTGTCTTTCAATGAATGCTTGGGTATGTATAAATACTTGATTAATCTTTATATGTTAATGCACCAAACTGCGTGGTGTCAGTTACATGTTTTATTTATACACTGATTACTTTATAATTCAACATTTCCAACGGTGTTGCAATGGATAAACAGAATCCGCACAACTAGTTGACAATATTAGCTAGGGCTTTGATTTGTAGTATTTTTATTTCTATTTTTTAAAATTCTTATATCAAGAACATCCAAGGAAAATGTTAAAGTTTGAACAACGGACCAACATCATGGCACACGGGTAGTAACCCATAGGGGCTCCCTTCTTCTTCTATCTCCCCAACTCCCCCTTTTTTAAAAAAGAAAATATACTCTTGTTTATGTTTAGTTAGGTCTTATTTTCAGGAGACCTCGATAGATGCTTTAGCGTCCTCAGTTGCCCCTAAACGATACAATAATCACAAGTTTCAGGGCTCGCACATACATGCTATGAAGCTGAAACTAAGATTACCAGATTACCAGATTGTAATAAAATATGGGGTGACCCGTTTGCTATGAGGCTGAAACTAAGATTACCAGATTACCAGATTGTAATAAAAAAAATATATTCGCAGATTTCTTCAGTATGCTCTGACTAAACGTAGGGAATACGACGACACATGACGCGTTGTTTGGTACACACGGTTCCCAGCTTCGGACAGAGTGTTGATGATAATAATAATAATAATAATTCCTATTATTATTATTATTATTATTATTATTATCTATGTGTGTTTGATGGTGTTTCCTATTGAAAGCGGTCGGATGGGGGAGAAATACACATGTGCCCTTCAACAAGCGTGCCGTAAAAGATGACTAATTAAAGATTTGCTGAAATCTGATGCATTAGGCCGCAAGGTGCAAAAATTGCAGCGGAACTGTAAATCTCAACACAAATCAAGTACCTTTTTTTAAAGGACACTG